TGATTACACACATAATGCACATTATTTGAGTTTTCTGAGCTCGTAAATGCACAAACTAACACACAATCAGCTTCTCTATCACTTCTGTTTCTCTCTGACTCGCTTATTGAGAAATAATTGCAAAAATGATTTGGAAACTCAAATTTCATTGTCATTTTATGGACAAACAGTTTATCAAACTAAGTAAAGCTTTTCTCAGAACTAACGTTTCAGTTATTTTTAACCAGTTCCTGAACTTCATATTTAGTTGTTGAATGATGTCAGTTCACACGTGTGTCAGAATAACCACAGGTTTCCAGAATAACTTCATTACATCGACGCATATGAACATGTTCCACCAATGACAATCAGGAAGTCTCTGTTGTCTTATTAAACATATTTATTTATTCATGTTCTGCAAAACCTTTTTTTTTTTTTTGAGAAATTGATTGAAAACTGTACTTTATCTATATGTTTTTAAATTTTACTTTTGAGATATTGGAAATATACAGATCAATTTTTAATGTGGTTTAAGGGCTTTTTCACACTCGTTTGTTTGAGAGACTGCAAGCGCTCAACACATTAAATATTGTGGTCTGAATATGGTTTGTGTTTGGGGCCTTTTAGGAGGAACTGAGATTATTTAGTGCTTGCAGAAGGTTTTCTTTCTGGTGTTGGTCATTTCAGCTTTAGGCTATATGTCTACATTATTTTACTATAATAAAGTCACAATTAGGGGTGCACGAATATTCAAAACTGATCGTATCAGTTCATTGTGTGTGATGATGTTAATGCTGGAGAATAATCCATCAGTTCTCACCTTTATGAGCATCAGAACAGAAAAACACTTTCAGTTCATGTAGAATAAACTCTAGACATGTTTCAGTGATTTACATTGTGTTGAATGAATGGAAAAGCTTCATCTGTGTTTCTTCTGCTTTTAGTGCTGATGTCCCTCGTTCACTCTGGACTCAGTCAAGGTACTGTCCGTTACTGCAGTACATATAATTATGTTTTAATTAATGTGAATTGTGTTATAGTATTTATTTGTCTACATCAGGATCCCACATTTGTCTCTTTGCTGATGTTTTATGTTTGCATATATTTCACAGAATCATCTGACTGTAGTTTCTTATGCTGCAAAACATTACAGAAATCTGCTATTTATTCAATCAATCAATCAGTCTTGCATTGTACAATAGTTCAGTCGACTGTAAGCATACGCAGACACGAGTGTTTCTCTTGCTACTGGTTTATCTGAAGACTTTTCTCCAAATCCACCATGAAAACTAAAACAACACAATACAGAAATCACATCAGCTCGACACACAGCAAAAGCGTGTAACAGATGTAATGACATTTCACACAAAATACTGACAAATAAAACAAAATACCTTGTTGGCTCAATTCTGTGAGAAAGGGAAATATACTTTTAATTTTCATTTTATGAAAAAAGGTAGAACAAATTGCAACAGAAGCAAACTCAGCTGATTTTGTATCCTCAATATGTCCTGAGTGAGGAAAAAATCCCTGAAGAATCCCATTAGGGGAAAGTTTGGAAAAGACTCAAATATTGGATATTCATTATTTCTCTCAGGTGAATAGGGTAAAAATGTTAACCTTTACATATAATCATGAAAATTACTGAGTTGATTACTTGCATTAAGACAAACAACAAATATATTACAAGTTTTTTATTTTTATTTTTTTTATTGTTTAACATGGGCAATCAGTGCGTAATCTGTTTGCTAATTTGCATAAATACCACAACAGATCTAAACATTGGGTATAGCAGGTGAACATGTCTTGTTGAATCTTGCTGACATATAACAGTAAACTATTTAATGATAAGGTCTAAATGAAACCTAATTAGGCTACCAATGAGCATTAACACATATTTGAGACAATAAAACGTTTGCAGTAACTCAAAAATATCATTATTTAATTTAGCAAGAAAATATTATTATAATTTGGAAACACTGCATTTTTACACTGTGCTGTTGTAGTTTGAGTTGCAAATACACATTTCATCATTTCACTAATCTGTGTCGGCATTATCCTTAAAAAACCATTCAAGATGATTCATGAAACCATTTGTTTATTATATATCTCAATCACAATATTGACTTCAACAAATCACATTATGACATTTTCTTCAAATCGTGATGTCCTAATTTTGATATTATATTCATCCCGTAGAAGGTAATTAGTTCAGACTTGATTAAAACAGAAATGAGTTCTGCACAGTGAGAGTTTTATTTGCATGTTTCTGAGATTTGCTGAAATTGTAATTATTGACGGTGTGTCATTAAGATCTCGAGCACCAATGCTAAGCTTTATTCATTCAGTGGTTTGGTTGGAAGAGCTGGAAGAGAAAAGTGTTTGAGAACAGACAGACAGAAGTTAGTTAGTGAGTTCCCAGTTCAGCTCTTTAAACACTCTGACTGTAAACAGCACCATCTACTGGTCAGAACAGGCAGAGCAATAATACAATAAAGACATGCAGACTGGAGACATACATCACTTTCATTTAGTTTTTACCAATACATGCATGCAATCATTGCAATTTACAAGAATTTTTTTTTTTTTTTTTAATTTAAGTGTTTTTTCTGCTGAGGAAGTTTTGAGTTTATGAAGTGATCTTGATCCTGCAATGCTTTTCAATATTTACTTCTTTCTCAGTGAAACCTGTAGTGACGGTGAAGCCAGATCAGCCTGTGTTCAGAGGAGAGAGAGTCACTCTCACATGTGTCATACGGGGAGGAGGAAACATTCAGAGATACATCTGGATTAAAGATGGAAACACTGTCTATCCATTTACAACAACAACACCATATTACAGTTTCACAGCTGATGTGTCTCACAGGGGTGAATACAGTTGTAGAGGAGAGAGATCAGACTCATACACAGACTTCAGTGATGGAGTTACACTGACTGTATCAGGTGAGTCTTCATATTCACATCTGTTTAATCATAATTTTTCATAATCATAATCATTAATTTATAAGCTTTAAAATGTGTTGATTTAGTTTACCTTTATACTGCACAGACCATATATAAAGCTTAGAAGAATTTACTTCCAAACTGTGTTCAGAGGCTGTTCGAAATAAGAGAAAGTCAGTATCAACTAAGAGGAATGTGTTTAAAAAAGTGAGAACAAGAACTAATAAAAAAAAAACAATGCATATCTGTTAAAGGAGTAAACCTATGGAATAATTGTGATGAGGAATTAAAAGTGTGTAATTCGTTTCGGTTGAAGTCAGGCAGGAGACATGGTGAGGTACAAATAATGAAATCACTTTTATTTTATAAAATGACTCAAACTATCACAAAAGACAACACAACACCACATCCAACAAGGATCTTCAACTTAGGCAGCCCTGGAGACGACGTCACTCAACCCAAAGGGTCCTCTCTATTCTCCTAAAAAAAAAGAAACAAAGAAAACCTCACACACACACACACACACACACACACACACGTGTAAACACCGCACTCGGTTGAACACCTCTGTGTGCCACAGAAAACACTCCAAGATGAGGAGGGCTTATTTTCCTCGCTGCCCAGGCCTACAAATAAAGAACACACACACAAAAGACTCACACAACACAATAAACACAACTTAAACAACACAGTCTCATCCCAAAAAGTCATATAACTGACGTCTTGGGACGTTTTTTGACCATACGTCAATATCCGCCTTTTTAGGGCCCCCCGTCGGTAGATGGCGATCCCGGGCCGTCATACAACTGACGCTTTACCTTTAACGTCAGTTAGGTGACGGGTTAGGTTTAGGGTTAAGTTTAGGTCTGGGGTAGAGTTAGGATCCCATAACCTCATCTACCGACGTTTAAGGGGGCCCTAAAAAGGCGAATATTGACGTATGGTCAAAAGACGTCCCAAAACGTCAGTTATATGACGTCTTGGGATGAGACCGGGTTGACTTAAACAATAATATATACAAAAAGGAAACCCTAAAAAAAATAAGAAAGAGAAAACTACACAAACACAATTGTTTGGCCCAAATGCACAGTGTTCATCTCAGAACAGTTCGATAACAAACATATTCTCTTCACATGTAGAAGGACACATTTTTATCAGGATTATAACATTATGTAAATTGTGATTTTCCAGTGTTAAAGACGTCTCCATCTTTGAGATTTACTTTAGTCACTGTTAGTTTGGTGACAGGAGATATTTAATAATAGAAAAGATGAGATTTGTCCGAGAGAATGACGTGACTTACAGACACTGATGTGAAATGAGTTGATGAAGTCTTCAGATATTCTGATGAAGTTGATTCAGTCTCAGTATCTCCTCATATGAGCTTTAGTTGGAGATCTTCATCTCTCCTTCAGGAGCTTCATTCTGCTTTCTGTGGCGAGTCAGAGCCTCAAAACAACTGACATGATAAAACTAATGACAGAACAGCAACAAAACACAACTAATACTATGAAATATGAGACAAAATCATCATGACTCATCATGTTAGTCTGCCCGAATCAGCTTCAACATCAATATTAGAATATATTAGAATATGTTTCTTCTCTAAAAGATCTTAATTATCATCGAGACGATTCCTCCTGATCTCATGTAAATATCAGCGGAGTGAAACTCGATCACTTCTAGTGTGAAACGGCAGCGGGATGTCAAGAATAATCCTGTGTTCAGAAGATACATGAAGGACACATGGAGTCCCGTCTCAAACAATATTAAAGATGTGGGAACGGAAGGCTTTCAGTTTCATTGTTATCCTCAATTTACTTTTAAAACTAAACTTCATTCACATGTAGAGCTGGAGGAAGACTGTAATACAGTATATAATGTTTGAGCAGAGATTATTCTGGGTTTATTCTGACTCTGATGAACTCAGGAGCTTTAATGCACTTTGTCACTGTTGCTGCAATAACACTTCATCATTGAGATCTTCAACTTCCTCGAAACATTTATAAAATATAATTCTGTTACAATGCACTGAAAGAGATGTTTGAGTCAGTTTGTGTTTCTGTGTTTCTTCTCAGGTTTACCCACATCTACAGTGACTGTGACACCAGCCGGTCCTGTATTCACTGGAGAAACAGTCAATCTGAAGTGTGTGATAAACTCTTATTACAGTAACTGGAGATATGAGTGGTATAAAGTAAGAGGCCAAGACAGTGTAATATTACAGACGTCTGATCGTTACACTGTAAACAGAGACACTGTCACTATCAGAGGAGCTACTGGGTCTGATCAGGGTCAGTACTGGTGTAAAGGACAGAGAGATGGAAGACCAAACTCATCAACATCAAGATCGGCTGTTTCTCTCTCTGTGAAGGGTGAGTTCAACATCATTGTCCTCATAAACTCTCTCTGATACAGTATATATAATCGAGACACTGTTCAGACTGATCTACTGTCTTATTAAATTCAGTAAACAGGGCCAATAATTAACACTCATCATAAGCCAAATGTGAGTAAAAATCAGCGAGTGTGTGAACGGTGTCAGTCGGCCAGTTTCTACACAAAGTGAACAACAGTGAATGACACTCAGTACAGTTGACGTGTCAGCGCTTCATCATCACGAAAGTTTCAGCCTTTCCAATGTAAATATTCAAGAGCTGGAAGTGAAACAGCGAAAGGGAATTCGTAACTTGTGTGTGTGGTCCGTCCGTGTATCTTTTGGCCATTTGATTTCCTGTTTGGAATGGAATCAACGAGAAATGAAAACCAGCTTGTTTATTTGTTGCTTTGTTGAGTTTAAAAAAAAGAAAAAATTGATTTTGGGTTGATTTTTCATTTTTTGTTTGTGGTTTACAAATCGGTTTATGGGTTCGATATTTCATTTACGCTGAAACGCCCCTTTCATCTGATTGGTCAAACCGTTCCGCCTTCAGTACGAGCTTTTCTTTCTGTCCGGCAGAATAAGAGTCACGAGTGCGGCATTGACAAATACACTTTAATAAAATAATGTCTGAAACCACCACTCACTGTTAACTACGCACAATATTTGAAGCAGAAATATGTTGCTGGTCACGTAACTGATGAATACTGTGCAAATAGTTCAGTGTTTTGGATAAAAGCGAAGTGGAAATAAAAATACAATACTAAACGTAACAGTACCATTATAAAATATGTCCGTAACATGAGATGTCTGTAGACGACCTTCGGTTACATTAGAAATAGGGGATAACACTGTATAAAAATACTGTATTTAAATCATCATGTCTAAAGTTCCCGCATAAAACATGAAAATCCAACAACCCAATGGGAATATATCCTTGTTGTGTAAAACATCTGTTCATAATCTGTGATTACACAATTCCAATATGAATAGCACCGGGAGATCATCAACAATCATCAGTCCAGCTAATCTCACAGTGGGATCATATTCAGAATGTCCTTCTCGTAAAACACACAAATGGGCTTCCTTTGTTACATACATTTGTGCATAAATGTTTGCATTCAAGTTTTTCGAACAGACAGACAGATTAATAACTAAACTGTGTATCTGATTTGTCATTTTTTTCTGCTTTTCTTCCCGCACGCACACTGTTACTTTTGACTATGTTTGTCCTTATTCTCATTTTTAATCAAATTGTACCTTCTGATAGTCATTCTGTGTGTGTAAAGTGATTTAATAATGTCCAAGATTCCTGGTTTTATTTTCAAATTATTTTGGGTTAATCTTAATCCAGAAATGTAGGAATATTACTCCAATAATTAGATTAAAAAACATTTAGCCCAATCAGCTGCTAAACTGGGTTGTTTCTAACCCAGCAGTTTTTACCACAGTATATTATTGAACTGTATTATACATTGGCTCATGACCTCATCACATTGCATGTTTAAGTCAGTAATATTTTTACACTCTTAAATTATGTAAGATTTATAAATATTGCACAAGCTGTAATTCTGTGACATGTAAATAGAAAATAAAAGTATAAGTAATACGTATTATAGACTCAGTTTACATGTGTGGCATTCTATACCCAGTCTTTTAGTTTATACAAAGTTTATCTGTATATAATCTATGAATAAATAAAAAATTTTATGTAATCAATACAAACTTCCAACAAACTAGATATTTCCTTTTTAATACAGTGTTTTTCTCATAAGGAGGTTTTGAGTTCATAAACTCTAACATTGATCATGATACTGTGATTCAGTTTTAATCAATATTTACTCATTTGTGTATTAATACAGGAAAACCTGTAGTGAAGGTGAAGCCAGATCAGCCTGTGTTCAGAGGAGAGAGAGTCACTCTTACATGTGACATACAGGGAGGAGGAAACATTCAGTGGAGATACAGCTGGATTAGAGATGGACACACTGGCTATCAATATACAACAACAACAGCAGATTACAGTTTCACAGCTGATGTGTCTCTCAGTGGTAAATACAGATGTAGAGGAGAGAGATCAGACTCACACACAGATAGTGATGGAGTTACACTGACTGTATCAGGTGAGTCTTCATATTCACATCTGTTTAATCATCATTTAATATCCATATTTCAACACTTTAGGCGGCGAGCTACATAGGCCTACCGTGCACCCCCCCCAACTCCCAACAAAACCATGCTTTTTTGAAAGGTCTGGATGTGTAGAATATGAATCTGAATGTTAATATTGAAAATTTTGGGTTGCACTACCTGTTTTAGGCCTGTGAATAGGGAAACCCTCAAAACGTTTTTAAGCGATTTTAGCATTTCGAGATTGACCTAGTCAATCAGAACAGCTTTTAAGGGACCCAATACACACTCAAACTTAACATATGATGACTTAGGTTATCTCTCACTGTGAAGGGTGAGTTCAACATCATTGTCCTCATAAACTCTCTATTATTCATGATCACACAAACAATCAAGAGAATTTTACTTTAAGATTTGTCATTCACACTGCTGATAAATAGTTGTCACTCTTCTTTTGAAGGGCTTGATTTTATTTTCTCACTGTTCTTTTACAAACTATTTAAATGAGCAAAACATGCAACTAATGCAGATGTCCGAAAATCCATTTTAAAACTGAAGTATTTTTAGAAGTGTAATCTTAAAAATACAACACTCGTGAATTTCTTATAAAACATAGAAACAACAGATAAAGTCGTCTTTCTGACGCATGCGAGCACAGATCTGAGAGACAAATAAAAATAGTTCTGTTAATGGCTGCTAATTACATGTCAATTACATCTATTCAGAAACAACGTTTTTTAATAAACATGAAACATTTGTGTACGTATTTTTTTAGCTGCTTGTTCTTTTTGAGAATTTCTGAGTTTTTATACAAATGCAGCTTTGGTTTTCAGAAGTTTCATCGTTTTGTATCTGATTATGATTTACAGTTCATGAAACATTAGATTTAAGAAGTATTTTATCTGACACTCACACCAAAGTTTCAACATTAGCTCACCTGAGAATGAAAATTGTCATCATTTAATCTCACACACCCTCTCATTAGAACAAAACTAAACCATTTTAAAATGTAGTTAGAGACAAACAATGATTTGTGTAACACAGGTGAACTCTGACTCTGGAGGATCTGAATCTGTTGTTGTTCTCCTGCAGATCTACAGCCGAAGCCTGAACTCACATCAGATCCTGCAGGAGCTGCACTGACTGGAAACACAGTGACTTTGACCTGTCGCATGAATCTAACCAGAGACTGGGACATTTACTGGTACAAACACACACTGAACCCTGAGACAGAGAAGACACAAACACACTCCTACAGCCTGAAGATTGATTCAGTGTCTGATGGAGGCCAGTACTGGTGTAGAGCTGGAAGAGGGAAACCAGTCTATTACACGCAATACAGTGATGCACTGTGGGTAAATGTTACAGGTGAGAGAGACTGTAGTGTGTGATGCAACAAATACAGATCAGAGACAATATCTACACAACTTCTGAAACTATAAATGCAATAATCTGTGTTTGTACAGTGAGTCCTAAAGCTGTGGTGACGGTACGACCTGATGAACGAGTGTTTAGAGGAGAAACAGTCACTCTCAGATGTGATATAAAGTGGGCAGGAGACACTGAGTGGACATACAGATGGGAAATAGAGGGAACCAACAACTGGGATAGAAACTCTGCCAGTCGATGTACAGAACAACACTGCTGCACTGGAGCTGATAAACAGACACACAGAAATGCTGTCAGTCGGTGCTCAACACAAGAGTTCAACATCAGCAGTGTCGATCTCTTTCACAGCGGTGAATACAGTTGTAGAGGAGAGAGATCAGACTCACAGAGATCACGCATCAGTGACGCTGTTACACTGACTGTCTCAGGTGAGTGTGTGTGTGAGTGTGTGTGTTGTGATCAGCTTCTCCATCAGTTTCTCTACGGCTCTGTAACTCGTGATGTTTTGTTCAGCTGAAGCTCAGGCATCACTGCGAGTGTCTCCACAGCCGTGGCTGACTGAAGGAGAATCAGTGACTCTGATCTGTGAGGTTTCAGGCTCCTCTACAGGCTGGACGTTCAGCTGGTTCAGAGATCATGATCATCTGTCAGACAGCAGCAGAGGAGCTGGAGGATCTTACACTCTCAGTCCTGCTGCTCTACAGCACACAGGAGTTTATACGTGCAGAGCAGAGAGAGGACGACCAGCCTATTACACACACAACAGCAGCTCACACACACTGTGGCTCACTGGTGAGGGTTTCTGCTTGTGCTCATCTGCATCTGTGTTTCACTGCAGTCTCTGTGCTGTCAGTTCTGATGGAGATTTTCCTCTTTTCAGGAGTTTCTGCTTCAGTGTCTCTGGTCATCGATCCCAGCAGAAGTCAACACTTCTCATCTCAGTCTCTCTCTCTGAGCTGTGTGGATCAGAGTAACTCTGCTGGATGGACAGTGAGAAGATACACAGACACACACACACAAACCTGTGCAAAACAAACAGGATCTGGATGTGTAATCGACTCTCTCAGCACATCTGACTCTGGAGTGTACTGGTGTGAGTCTGAATCTGGAGAGAAACGCCGTCCTCGAAACATCACTGTACACGGTGAGTCCAACCACTCACAACTCAGACTGATCTCATGAAGTAGCGTGTGTATGACACGCCAATTCGTATTTCCATTTTTGGCGTGCTATCAAGACGCATAATCGCCTTTCAGCGTGATTATGAACGCCGTTGACTTAACGTTATATAAATATATGACTTACCTCAACCCCGTCCCTAAACCTAACCGTCACTGGGGTTAATGGCATTTATGACTGGAGATTTGACTGCGTGTTCAGACACGCGGAATGACGCGGACGTTAATGGCGTAGACATATACGCATACACGCGGATACACGCAGATAGCACAAAATGCGTGGAGATAACACGCCACCTGACTCGAAAGTGGCGTATATGTTTACGCAAAAGTCATGATGTCATGTTGCACAACTATATAACAATGAACAACAATCTTTTTAAGACTAAAAATATTATAATAATATCAAGATTTTAACTCTATAATATAATAAAATAAAATGCACTACACTATAATTAAGTGTATGATTTTATATATATATATAGTAACACTTATATGTTACAATAACCCTTGTGAACATGTGAATATAATGTCATTTATTCCTGTGATCAAATCTGAATTCCCAGCATCATTACTCCAGTCTTCAGTGTCACATGATCCTTCAGAAATCAGTACAATGTGATGATTTGATGCTTAAGAAACATTTCTGATTATTACCAATGTTGAAAATATTTCAATATTTTTTGTGGAATTTTTTTTTCTTTGATTAATAGAGACTTTGAAGTACATAATTTATTTGAAATTTCAACATTTTGTAACATTATAAATGTCTTTTTTGATCAATGCGTCACATTTGATAGTGAATCCCTGCTGAATAAAAGTGTCAGTTTCCAAGATTATTGATAGTGAACATTTTGGCCCTGCACATCAATAATTGAAGTATGGGTCTGATTAATACATTATCATCACTACATCATCACTACATCATCAGTACATCAGTACAGTATCATCACTACATCATCAGTACATTAGTATCATCAGTTCAGTATCATCACTAGCAGCTGTTGATGTCTGTCTCGTGTTTGTAGACGGTGAGGTGATTCTGGAGAGTTCTGTTGATCCTGTGATTGAGGGAGAGACTCTGACTCTACACTGTTTACATCGATCTACAAACTCCTCGATCTCCAGCGCTGATTTCTATAAAGACGGATCACTGATCCAGAATCAGACGACAGGAGAGATGAGCATCACTACTGTCTCAAAGTCACATGAGGGTTTCTACTCCTGTAAAACAGAGAGAGGACAGTCTCTCCACAGCTGGATCTCAGTCACTGAAGCCTTTAATGGTGAGATGATTTAATGAGAAACGCCACACCATTATTATATACTATTATATAGTCTCTAACTCTTATTTCTGTCAATAAGTGTATTCTTCTTCTGTGTAAAATTATTATAAATACCAGTTTATGCAGTTTAATTATGGCGTCTAAGATCGCAGTTGGACACTATCGGCCCGGCTGGCCGTTTCTAGCCCTCGCTCGCACTGGCTCCACAGTGGAAATGCGGATAATGATTTCTGACTGGCATAAAACTGTACAAATCAAACAAAATAAACGGGTAAAGGTAGAGACCAGTTAAAGGAGCTGTATGTAAGAAATTTATTTAAAATAATCATAAAATGGCCCTGATATGTCACTAGACATGAAGAAATAATGTTCATTTCAAATATTATATCACTGACAACTGTAGTCCGGCCAGGATATTGTCATTTAAAAAGTGAAGTTTTAGCCTTCAACTGATGTTGATGATGTCATGTTGTGTTTTGATCTGATGCTCCTCCCTCCACCGATCTACCAATCACGGAGTCAGTAGTGTTGCAGCATTCACGCACAAAACTTTGTTGGTCAATAATGTTCTTGTGTTTCTGTTTTCCAGGTCAGATTTCTGTCTACAAAATCCTCAGTTTTCTTCTGGCAGCTTCTCCGTATCTGTTAGCGACAGTCGTGCTGCTTTTCAAATGTTACAGAGCGAGAGGTAAAACTTCTCACACACACACACACAAGCTCTCTCTCTCTCTCTCTCTCTCTCTCTCACACAAATTATTCACATATTCTCACTGACAGAAATGCCTTTACTGCCTGTCTTAGTATTAGATCTATGTATTAGATCTATATTTTGAACGGATGATGGTCATTCATGAAAGCAATAACTGCAGTGGAAAATAATATATATATTTTTTTTTAAATAAGACGTCCGTTTAAATGTTGAAAATGTTTTTTGTGTGTATTTCACAGTTTCATCTGCTGAAGACCAAAGTCAGTACGCCGTATCAGAGGAATAAACTTTTTGACAGAACTGATTCTTGCGATTGTAATTTAATGTGGAATGTACATTTGTGATACAAACAAAGGCTATTGGGGTATTTTTGCAGAGAATAAACGAGCCTGACGAAAGACTTTTTATGTTTTCGTAAACGAGACCCTTATCATCTCCCTGTAAATACAAAAATGCTCATTTGAAAATGGTGACGACATGCACATGCGTATGACGTGTTCATTCTTTTGGCTTTTTTTTAAATGAAAGGTTCATTTCAACGGACTCAAGGATGATAGATTTTTTCGAAGCCCTTGTGTTCAAAGGTTTTGACATTTTCTTAAAGGAAGTAAAAGTGACTTTCTATCAGAGGAGATCATTCTAAGATTGGGATTACTGTGAACATTTCTGGCTTTATGAAGAGGAAATTTACCCAGAAAACAAAGTAATATTACAGTATTATCAAGATGAACATCCTTAGAATGGAAATCGGACAAAAAAAAACATGATATATTCTGTAATTTGTGTCTTTAGGCCTGTGTGCGCAGCTCGAGTGAACTACAGTAAAATAGTGTGTGTGTGCAGTGCCGTAGTCTTCATTTACAAAGTCACTTCGCCAGTGTATGTATGCTTACGTATCGCTGCTTTTCCAGAAAAAACAGCACTCTTGCTCTTAACTCTTATTTCTTACCTTTATCATTATAAATATACAAATCAGGAACTCATTAGTGAGGCATTCACCCAATGTAGGCTATTGATTTCATTATAAAAATAATATTGTGTTTATAAACCTTTGAAAACTATATATTTCATAACCATAAACTGTAATAAAAAAATAATAATAATGTTGTGTGGTGTTTTTCATTATAGGGTTCGAGCTGAACTCTGCTGGAAAGTGGATCTCGAGGGCCAGAGTTGCTCACTGGTTTATAATGTAACATCAATGCAATTTTTGGGGCTAAAACTAAAATGATGAAGATTATAGATAAGAGATATGATCTTAAAAGAGTCTCTGTGTTCTCTGATCAGACAGCCGTGCTGCTAAACACATTAAAGCTCGTGTGAGGGATGATATTTTATCTGAATACTGGAACAGGCTTAAAGCACTAAAGCATTTTTACATAATAAATAATGCAACCAAAATGTTACAGAAAATATTAAACATTTATCGTGCTGAGAGTTGCTTCAAATCAATTTGTTTATCTTTGTTCATATATCCATGAATATAATTGTAAATAATAATAATAAATGATATTAAAAAAAAAAGAGTATAACCTACATATCGCTACTCGGCTATTCTGGAAAACACAATTGAAAATGTAAAGAATTCGTTGATAAAAACACTTTTATATTATAGCAAAAACATAAAAAAAAAAATCAAACACTTATAAGTCGATTTTTGATGAATTTGGCATGAATTTTAGTCTGAGAGTTTAAAACCAGCCATAAAAGTCTTACCAGAACACCTTATTGTTCTACGGCATCTTCCTCAACATGCATTGCGAGTAATATAATACAACTGCTCTTTTCACAGATAATATGGGTGGCTCTTAAAAGAGCCTTTGTTTTGTTGAGCGGACTCGCTCTACTTTGAGCTGGTGTATTTGGTCACGGCCTTTGTGCCCTCAGACACGGCGTGTTTGGCCAGCTCTCCGGGCAGCAGCAGACGCACGGCGGTCTGGATCTCTCTCGATGTGATGGTGGAGCGCTTGTTGTAGTGAGCGAGACGAGACGCTTCACCGGCGATGCGCTCGAAGATGTCGTTGACGAAAGAGTTCATGATCCCCATCGCCTTGGAGGAGATCCCGGTGTCGGGGTGAACCTGCTTCAGGACTTTGTACACGTAGATCGCGTAACTCTCCTTCCTGGACTTTCTGCGCTTCTTTCCGCCCTTGCCGGCGGTTTTAGTGACGGCCTTCTTCGAGCCCTTCTTGGGCGCAGACTTCGCTGGTTCAGGCATGATATTTCAGTTGGTGAAACTAAATGAACTGTAGCTCTGTGTCACTGCAGGCGGGTTTTATGCACTGCTCTATGCTAATTTAAAAAAGGGAGGAACGAAACTCTAGGATTGGTAGGCTTCCTGGACCAAAACATAGAGCGATTTCATTGGGCAGATAAAACATTCCCTGAATTGTAGGTGATCCAATCAGAAGCTTTGAAATGTTAATCACGCCCATCGACAACCACCATCCCCCGTGACTTCATCTCTTTGTTTCATTTTCCCGCATTTTTCAGGAATGAATAAATGGATTATTATGAATCATTTCAGATTTTCTTTCGTACGTAGAGGATTATATATAATTTTAACATTTATTTAAAAGAAGAATTAGCCTTGTGTTATGTATATACGGCAATCTAAATATGAAAAATAGTTTATATATATAAAACAAACAATGAGTATTAACATTCGAGAGTCTTTATAACGATGTTTAATTAACTACAAATCAGAACTGTGAATATAGCACAGTAAAAATACAAATCACTTAACCCTCTATGCTTGGAATGGTGTTGCCTCCAGGAAACATGGTCTAATATGGTTGGTATGTTTGTTTGTTTCATAAAATGAGACCTAACATATCTCGTGGCAGAAGAACTCACATACCAATCAATGAAATTGCAAAATAATGGTCACATGACCCACAGGGGCCATTTTGTGCCTTGTTTCAGCACATTGTGCACGACTTGTCCAATTTTTCGCCAATGAAAAGTTCGTTTTAAATAATTAGAATTGAATAAATATTGAATCTGTAATGAACATTAATTCACAAATTATATCTACACAATGTCTGTACCTATAAAAGGTAGGCCTATAGAACACAGCTGGCAGTTGATGAGGGTAAGGAGGTTGTATCATGATGAGGAAGATGAGGTTATAGTGAATCCAGCAGGGAGAGTGAAGATGAGGATGAAGATGGATATGGTAACTTGATTTGAGGGTTTGTTAATTTGTGTTCCACTGTGGTACTTGCCTGAGATCAACAGCTTTTATTTTATAATACATTAAACACGAGATAAAATTGTTTTTTTAATCATCTAGTTAAAGAAATTGACTTACTATATGAAAATATCAAACGTATATTTTGTCCGTTATTTATCTACTCTTTTTTCACTTGTTTTTTGTACTTATTTTTCTTTTAAAATAATTCATTAATTTACGATGCTCAACAACTAGAAACTCGTTCTTTATGTGCAAGTGTGGGTGGCTCTTAAAAGAGCCGTTGGGTTTTTCTTCTTCGTGAGTCTTAACCGCCGAACCCGTACAGAGTGCGTCCCTGTCGCTTCAGCGCGTACACAACATCCATGGCGGTGACGGTCTTTCTCTTGGCGTGTTCAGTGTAAGTCACAGCATCACGGATGACGTTCTCCAGAAACACCTTCAACACACCGCGGGTCTCTTCATAGATCAGGCCAGAAATACGCTTGACGCCGCCACGTCGAGCAAGACGACGAATAGCGGGTTTAGTGATTCCCTGGATATTATCGCGGAGAACCTTTCGGTGACGCTTAGCGCCTCCTTTCCCGAGTCCTTTCCCGCCTTTTCCTCTTCCAGACATGTCAACAAATACTCTATAGCTCAAAATAACCGAATATAAAGAAACATCACCGGAGAACAGAGGTTTCTAGTCAGCTAGCGGACCTAGTTGAAACCACATTCATGGGCGGTTCTAGTAAACGTCACCACTTACGCATTTCCATGTCCAGTTCAGTCTTTTGATGCCTTATAGTAGTGGAAATAAGTCGAATATAAGTAATATTTACAACTATATTATTTAATTATAAGTAAAAAATAAATAAATAAAACGTTAATGCGTTAAAAATAGACAAATCAACGTGGCACATAAATGTTCATATTGCAAAATACCATTATATGGAAATCTTTCTTAGAGTTATTGAGGTGGCTCTTTAAAGAGCCTTTGGGTTTGTGTGAGTTGTGGATTTAAGCGCGCTCTCCGCGGGCCAGCTGGATGTGTTTGGGCATGATGGCGACTCTCATGGAGTGGATGGCGCACAAGTGTCCTGGACCCGGCTAATGGCTGTGCTGTCAAGGTCTCTGCTGCCTCTGCTTTCAAGGTCAGTGTTTTTTATCGTATATTTGTGCATCATATCCCATAACTGTTCAAAAAAAGTAGTGTACTTATGCCAACTAATTTTAAAAATTGAGATGCACATAATATATCACAGGATGAAAATCCTTTCATAGCACAACTGGACGATGGGGTTGGACAACAGTGTGTATAATAATGCAGCGTGTTACTACCTCCATTAAAAATGCTTAGAAATTATACTTTTGTATGTTACTTTTTCAAAATACTAGGCTACTTACAATGTAGACTTGGGCAAATGATTTTGCTGGGCTGATCCTAAGTTAAACAATGATAGAAATTGATGAAATCGCTCTGTCGGAGAGAAATTGGGTGGCTCTTAAAAGAGCCTTTGGTTTGAAGAGAAACTTCCGTCAGTTTACTTTGCCTTCGCGGCCTTCTCGGTCTTCTTGGGCAGCAGCACGGCCTGGATGTTGGGCAACACACCACCCTGAGCGATGGTCACGCCACCCATAAGCTTGTTGAGCTCCTCGTCATTGCGCACCGCCAGCTGCAGGTGTCGAGGGATGATACGGGTCTTCTTGTTGTCCCGAGCGGCGTTTCCAGCCAACTCCAGGATCTCAGCGGTCAGATACTCGAGCACAGCGGCCAAATACACCGGAGCTCCGGCACCGACGCGCTGGGCATAGTTGCCTTTGCGGAGAAGTCTGTGAACACGGCCGACGGGGAACTGCAGTCCGGCCCGGGAAGAGCGAGTCTTGGCCTTGGCACGAGCCTTTCCTCCGGTTTTACCTCTTCCGCTCATTGTGACTAGAATTTATTATCGATTAGCGAGACGATCAAATACAATGCTAATGCCCGTTGTGAGGTGCAAAAGAGAAGTCTGAAAACTTTCCAGTCGGTGATCTTCCCTCCACGTCACACTGTAGTATCATTTAATGCCGCTAGGCGTCCTTTTAAAGGGTGACTTTATTTTGATAGTGATGATGATGATGATAAAAAAATGTGATTACTAGTTAAACGATTCGGTCTTTAACAGTGTTGTGCAAGTTACTTCCAAACTGTAATACATTAGGTATTACTTGTTACTGTTATTTAAAAGTAATTCATTACCTTACAATATTACTGTCTCAGAATTGTAATGCGTTTGTAGCTGCAATCAAAGGCAACTTATGCATTTCTGTTAAATATGGTTCACAATTAAAATATAAATATATGAGGTTAAAAATCATATGATTGAAATGTTTCATGGTCAATAAATAATAATTTCATGATTATTTCTTTTGTTAAAAACTGTGAGAAAAAGGGTGGAACTTATTTTTTGTTCCATGCGGAAATCATAATTTGTTGCTATAGGGACGCTTTATGGGTACACTCGCTAAGTTCTTGATGAGAGAAATGTGCTGCGGTTTTCTAAAAAGCCATGGAAGATTATAAAGATAGTTTATAAGTTTTATTGTTGAGGATTGAAGACGAATACCCTTCTAAGTTTACCCTCTCGAGTGCATGTGGCCAATGAGGTATATTTTCTCTTTCTTTGTCATGTATTTGTATAACATGACTGTGTTTGTAACGAAGCCAATTTACTTTACATTGCATAAATGTATACTTTATTTTTTAGTTTGTGATTTCTGTTTAGTATTGTCTGCAAATATGTCAAGAATTTAAGGTTAATTTACGTTTTCTGTGTTTTATTTATATACCAGTTCTGACGGCAATTTGGAAATGCAACAAGTGAACATGTAAAGACATGTCCGTCATGGAATAAATATGCCCGTGAAAATCCAGGAATGACTTGAGCCTTTATTAAACTCGAGGGGAGTAACAGCGTTACATTACTCATGTATTACTTTTGAGTTACTTTCACCAAAATAACTAAGTAGAACAACTTTGGGGCTGTAACGATATGCAATATGAAACCGAAATCGCGATTCGCCACACGACTCAGATCCACGAACAGAATCGCGACACACCTCTTCCAACTCCCAGCATTATTCTCCTTACCGTCCAGATCCAATGCTGCCTTATCTTTAAATTAGGCTATTAGTATTATTTGAAGTTAACATTATAAAATACGTAGACCTACACCACAAATCTAGTTGAGGATAAATTATTTAAAATTGGGGAAGTCCAGCATTATGGACATGACATTTGCAGTCAAAACTTGAAATAAAAATTCTCAGAAAATACATGTATTGAAACGTATATTGGCTACTTCCTTAAAGGACTCCAGACATTAGACAAATATCAGTCTATGTTTTATTTTTAATATTAGGGAAAAGACGCACATTCATGCGTGACAAAAAAAAATAGGAGGCAAAATATATTTTTTGTAATTCTGTTAATTACACTGTGCAAATCGGATGAGGAAGGGTTGGCTCTCCAGTCTCCATAGAACTTAAAATATTCATTTATTTTAGTTTTCGTGTTCGCATTTATGAGGAAAAAACAATGTTACAGACGCGACCGCTCTGAACTGGCACTAAAAGACTGCTTTATACCTTTCACATAGTCTGTTGCCTTTAAGAAGTAAAAGCAGACAATACACTGTAATACAACTGTAATACAAGCCTCACTGAACATGTAACGAGTAAAATATTACTGAAAATTGATTAGTAATGCCTTACACTACTGCGTTACAGCAAAAAGTAATATGTTACTGTAATGTATTACTTTTGTAATGCGTTACTCCCAACACTGGTCTTTAAGTATAATAGCTGTAGTTTAATTAAATATGTAAACATATTATGTACTGTATAAATACTTGATCAAAAACATAACGTTCTTAAATGGGCCTTTTAAATTGCTTTCACTTGTAACAAAGTAAAGCCAATGTCACTTTTGACCAATGAAATACTACTCTTTACTATTAGTGGGTGGCTCTTGAAAGAGCATCTTTTTAATAAAACAAATAAAAAGTTCTCAAGTTTTAAAGATATGTCAAGAGCTGTCAAAATGGCAGCCACACCAAGTAAAGACGTCACAACGCCCAATCCTTATGCGTGACACTTGAGAGCCCTGAAGAGTTTGCCAACATGGCTTTTGAGGCTGGACAAGCTGAGAGAGAAATACATTTCTAACAGATATTTTTGGGGCTCTTTGCTGCTTTCTTAAATAAAATTGAAGACAAAAAAATGTCTTAAAGAGTCTCTGCCTTCTTGGGGTTCTTCATTGCCTTTTTGATGGCAGGTTTCTTCACCTTCCTCAGCGATTACTTAGCGGCAGCTTCTTTGCTGCTGCAGTTTTGCGGCAGCAAGTTTCTTGGCTTTAGGAGCTGCTTTCTTGGCTTTTGTTGTTTAATAACCATGAAACTGATATCAAAAAACATTGTTGGTCCTTTAAATTAATGTGGACAAAATACAAAATGCATTAAAACATGGCACAAAACTGGAAATAATAAAAGTCCAAGACAAGGCACTCAATAAAATGAACTAGGGAGGTTGTGCACTTTACATAATATATTTATATATAGTTTACTTATAATAATTATGTTTTTTTTACTTTACATGTTTTTTCTATTAAGGTCTATATAATTGTGTCTCAACTTGACAGTACAAAATCCTAATGTGTTGTCTCTAAACACAAACCATTTATGTTAAGTAAAAACAAGTGTACATCCAGAGGGTGGCAGTATAGTGCGAGCCGAATGCCATTTTGCCCGAACTTAATTTTATTGTGTTCAATCTGCTTAAATCTACGAACAACTTAAGTTTACTTAATCCGTTTGTGTTGGATTACATGATTGATTTGTGTTGCCTTAACTGAAACTGGACAGTACTTTTAGTCCCCAGCATGCTTTGCATATGGTTGAATTAAGAGAGAATAAATGTTAAAATTACGTGTTATTTTATGTTTGTTTTTTTGTTGTTGAGGAATTTAGAAAAGGGGAAGACTTGATAGTGTGTAATAGTTTTTAATGTTAAATTACATTGGATTTATTAAACCATTTAAATTACAGAGGGTTACCATTGTGGAGAAGAGTGGAGCATTTTGTTTGGCTGTCGACTGATTTCATTATTTTCAAATGCTTTGAATAATGGAGCATCTAAATCTTAACATTCAAGATCTAAATCTTAGCATTCAAGATGTTAAAATCTTATAGCATTCAAGATGTGCTTCTGCTAGCAAATAGCTAGCTAAAGTCTATCAATTTAATTAAATGTCACTGAATCAAATGAAATATAAATGGATGAATGAATATAATAAAATGCATTTGAATCATGTCAGGAAGCCTTTAAAATTCACGTTGAGACTACTTAAATTGGGTAATTTAAAATTACATAATTCTATTATGTTGAAGTTATATGATCAAATTATGTTTGTTTAACGTAATCCAGTTATGTGGAACCTGTTGACAAATTAAAATTAATTAAAGCCAACATATGGGGTTGTTTAATAAAGTAACACATACAACAGCAGGCATAGAGGTAACCGTTACATATATAACAACTGACAAAGTAACAAGTGAAACACAAGAGCTATAAATACACAAGGACAAACAAGCTTAACAAAGTAAT